TTAAAACACTGCTTTAAACTCCCGTCCTTGGTTTTATTTCAAGAAGGCATTTACTGGATTTACTACATTTGTTGATAAGGGCTCAACACACCAACAGCACCAGGGACCAGACCTTAGACCAGCATTACATGCACACAGTGTTATGAGAGACACTCGGCTCTTGCAGCAAAAGCAAACCCTCAGCCATTAAGATCTGACACCGTAGTTTTACTCGGAGGCTGTGTATATTCATCAAGGAAAGAGGGAAATAAGGCAAAAAAATTAATCCCCCAACTTGAGCAGAAAAGGAAAGCTCCTGTTCAGCCTTCTCCATCTCTCTCTGACGTTTCCAAGGACTGTGCCACCTCTGTTTAAAACACAGAAGTGCCTTCCAGCTCTGCCTTAATGCCACCCCAAGGATAGCAGGGCCAAGATACCACAACTACAAAAAAGTAAAGCTGGTCTGTGTTAAACATGCAGTCACACTCTGGGTTTTCACATCTAAAAAAAAAAACAAAAAAAAAAAACAACAAAAAAACAAAAACACACCACTTCGGTATTGCTTCTTTCACTATAGATTTCTAGATATTGATCAGGATCTAAATATATCTAGCTAGATAAAAATATGTACTGCAATTTTATTTATGTTTGAATTATATAACACAATTTGCTCTAACCTCACCCTGAATTTCAAATAGCTTCTGGTTTGAGCTGCAGATCTGTCAGCTGAGCAGAGCTCTGCTCGAAGAGGCAGGGCTGAAGTAGGACAAGCATGTCAGTGGCAACAGGCAAACAGCAACTGCAAATACCTGAACCAGATCTGGCTCTGGTAATTTAACCTTCCTCAACATCACCACAAAGCTCACTGCGTTAAAAAAAAAAAAAAATAGTAGTAATAGTAATGAATCTAATCAATAAACATTTATCTTGGAACAACACTTCTATCATGAATCTTTCACTTTAGCACACGCATTGCTTTCCTCACCTGAACCTCCAGAGACACTGAAAGACCTTGCTGAGGAATAAAGGCAGCAGCACGGCATCCTCCGGAGAGGCCAAGGGATGTCCCTGAACTGCTTTCAGTGAGGAATCTATGTGGTGAATCACTACAAACGTCTCCCTGTGACCGCTATGAGGAAACACGATTCCTTTCCCTGACCTCCCCTTCACACCTGAGGAGTAAACAGAGAAGCGTCCACAAACAGGCCCGACAGTCGGCAGCATTTATTTCAGCAGGACCCCGCCAGCGGGCTCGGCTCCGACACGGAGCAGCCACCGGGCCACGGCTCCAGCGCCCACAGACATCTGCACAGCGGCACCCCGCCGGCACCGGGGCAGGAGCCAGGCTCCAGGCTTTCCCAAAAAAGCTTTCTGCTCACACCTCCCCACCTCGTCGCACCTTCCAGCGCTTACCTCCGAGAGGACGGCGGCGAAGGGCGGCCGGGCCCGGGCCTCGGAGGGCGGCCGGGCCCGGGCCTCGGAGGGCGGCCGGGCCCGGGCCTCGGAGGGCGGCCGGGACCGGGCCTCGGCCTCGGCCCCGCCGCGCTCCGATGCTGGAGCCTCACAGGGCACTGCTCCAGGGGACAGGGGCGAAGGGGGAAAGGAAAGAAGAGGAGGACTAACCCAACAATTACACGTTACACTTGCTAATCACACATTTCCAAAGCGGAGACAACAACGGGAATAATCCCTCCTCCCTCAGCGCACCACCAGCATGCCTTCAGAGCCAGGCTTTCTGGGAGAAGGGGGTTGTGGGGGTTGCAAATAATTACAGTTAATTTGAAGGTTCATATTTGAAGAGAATATTTTTGGAAAGAGAAATCAACATGTTAACAGTGAGCAGGAGCACAGAGCACGTAATCCTTTCACATCCTGACAGGGGAGAACTGCGGAGGCCTGCTATGAAGCATCGCTGAATAACAGCATCTTCATTTTTTGAATATCTAATTAGGAGTTTCTATATATTGCAAAGCATCGCCATAAGATATAATTTAGTTGGCAAACACTAAAGATCTCTCAGTCTGTAAGTACGCTTTTGGCAATCAAAATTTAAATCTGGATAAATATCCAAGATATGTACGACACAGGTACTTTTTTTTTTTTTATTCTAACAATTACATTCAAATTAGCAGATTAACTTGAATCAGTTTTAAGCAAATGCAAGCTACAAATATATCAGCCTCCACCGCCACCTCAACAGTGTATTTTTGGATTGTTAGTAACCTTACTCCTGTTAGTGGCTTCAAATACATTTAACATATATTAAAGGGCAGCCGATGAAGCCAAACAAGTTTTGCTTAAATCTAAGAAGGCTACAGAAGCCAGAACTTAGCACCGACTCAGACTTGAAATTCACACATGCCAAAAAAACATTTGCAACTGCACTAATTCCCACTGTGGGAACTGAGAGGTAGCTTCATATAACACAACGGGCAACAAATCCATTCCTTTAATTTCAGTCGCCAAATTTTAATTAATTTCCATCCAGGCAAACATTAAGCGTTTCTGCTGATCTTGCAGGATGTAAGCTCATTTGCACAATAAATGCGGTCTAACAAGTCACCACAGTTATAGCAAGTTGCTTCAGTCTTATCTAACTGCGTAGTGTGAAAAGTCAGTGATGGGTAAGTGAAACTCCACCCACGTCACAGTTTCTGGAGTTAAGCATAAGAAAACTGAAGAATTTGCAAGCGAGACTGCCAATAGCATTTGGACAATTAGAGTCCATATTCTGAACTACACATATAGCCCTTGTTTAGGAAGGGGGAGAAAAGCATGCAATTTTCACTTCAACTTTCTTCTACAAAATGAACATCTGTATCCCAACACTCCAGAGCTCCCCTTCCCAAAAAAAAAACAAAGTCAAAGACCTTCTGCTGCCCGCTCGCAGTAACTGCCAAGAAGAAAATTAAAAAAAAAAAAAAAAAAAAAAAAAAAAAGAACAAAAAAAGAGAAACCAAATCAAAGTTTAATTAAATTGTATAAATTTAAATAGGTCAGCATATAAACAAAACAGTCACAAGTTCTGCTTATGCCAGGAGGCACATGTCACTGCGGCGTTAAAGCAGAGACCATCAGCAAGAGCAGGGATTCCCCAGACGGTGGATCTGCCAGCAGAAAGGGCAGCAGGGCAGGCAGGGAACCAGCCTGCGCACAGCGGCTGCTGCCCACCTATGCACGGCCAGCTCCAGCCCGGAGGTTTAACAGCAGCTCCAGGTGAAGAGCAGTGGTGCAGGACGGTGTCGGGCCATCCTAGACAGATCCCTTCTGCCCACCTGCTGCCTTCCTCCTCTGCAACATCAACAGCGGAGCAAGAGACCGAGCGGTGCCCCGGCTGCTGCCCATCGGCCTCACCAGCAGATTGCTGCCCTCTGCATCTCCTGCCTTCAACTTTCCCCGAAGCCACAGCTTCTGTGGAAAGCACAAAGGCTTCTTACGTGTATGACTCCTTCGTGTACACACACCACGTGTTTAATTTTAAACAGTTTTTAATTTCCTGATTTCTGCACGTGGTGAAAGTTTCGTTCTGGTACTAACTGAATGAAAAAGGGGGTGGAGGGTGTGTTTCTAACATTTTTAGAGGGATACACCAACACCCAAGAAGCAGAGCAGCCCACTTCAGCCTTTTGCATCCTGACACGAGAGAAGCATGGAGACCTGGCATGAAGTAGCCTCTGAATGATAGATATTCAAAAAAAAAAAAAAAAGAAAATGAAGATGCTAATTAAATAAGACCTCTTACTTATTACAAAGAATAGCTAGGAGATATAATTTAGTTGGAAGTACTATGGGTTAAGGGCACCTCTGCTTGCAAGCACTCTTTTGGCAATCAACCTGAATTCAAATCTGAGTAAGTACTATTTTAGAGACCATGTCCCACACTTACGCAGTACATTCTCCCCAGTACACACACCCCTTAGACCTATGCAACAAAAACAGCCTTGACAAAATGGAAGAGGAGCCCCACAGGCTCACACCAGCGCGAGCCTGGGCTGCAGTTAACACACCAGCAAAGCACGCAAGGAGACACGGGCCGCTTAGAAATGCAATCACAGCCATCCCTGGCACGCTGGCTTGAAGCGGCAACGGGACTGGATGCACTTCCAGCTGCATGGATTCCTAACATTCCCAAAAATTAGGTTACTAAGGCTAGAACAAGAGAAGACTTGTACCTTTAAGTTTAATTAACTCTAGAATAAGACGTATTTTCAAACAGAACTATAACATCATTGATACTGTGCAGTGACGCAAGATGCCTTTAACAACAGTAAGTTGTCCGAGCAAATCGAGTGCTGCCCTCCGCTCCTCCAGCAAATTTCTAATCTGTCGGATGTGGCAGCTGTCAGAGCCCCAGGAGGTTTTCAGCAACTACATTTTTAAACCTAGCCACTTCTGGTCCCGTGTACCGCAAAGCAAAGCACTGCTAAACTTTTATCATTTACTGCAGAAGCACTTCAAAACCAAACACATCTGCCTCCTTGGGTATTATTTTAAGTGATCTGATAAAGATCAGTATCCACTATCGAAATCTAGCACAAGCATGAGGCCTAATGAAGTTCGTATCAGATAATCATCAATCCAGTAAAAGCAGCTGACTTCATTTTTTTATTCCTCCACATCCTCCGTTAGGAGTGGAGACCTACCAAGAAATTTAATGATACAGCTGCTGCACTGCTAACTTAAGATGTCTGCATCTCACAAAGTACAGTGCAGGAATGGAGTGCCTTTGTTTGATGAACACATGTGAATAACATTTACTAAGTATATTTAGAAATAATACTTAAATGTGAATAGCACTTGTCCTCAGAGATCAATTTAATTCATGCTGAAGCTCTCTCTGGAACAGCAGAGATGCTGTTCTTCAAAATGTGGCTCTTCCCAGTGCACTTCATTTATGAAGTGCAGCCCATCATCACAAAGAGCAGTGTTTCCCCAATATTTAAACGCCCTTTTGGCAACCAGACTTACAAACAAAATGCTACAAAATTAATTAAAATATTAGTATGCATGTGGTAATATGCTTAACTATGACTAGCTGCAGCCAGCATCAGTGAATTTGAAGTTCCTTCTTCACAGGAGTTGACAGTAAAGTAAGCATATCCGTCTTCCACATTTTTCTGAAAGAGGAAAACAATAAACTATTTACCAGGTATCTCCACTATGTCTTGCTTCAGTATTCGTTACTCAAGGTTATATAATCACTTCCATTAGAAATCCCTGTTTCATATACGAACTTTCTCCCAAAAGAGAAAGGGCGGAAGGTTGAATCTCTGTAGCCACAGCCCTACATATTTCACAAATCTGTGGCTGCAAATTGTATCAGCATTTTGTTCCAAAAGCCAAGCACTCATTTTACAAAATATTCACCAGTTGTGTAAACAGAGGACTGTATATTTCGGTAGTATTATGCCTTGGAAACTGAAAAAGGTCTGAACAGACATCTCAAGAGTACATAATTTCTAGAGTCTGACAAAAGACCTAAAACACCCAAAATATTGCCTATGTTATTGTTCATCATTGCATTAAAAAAAACCCACTAAACCCAAACACCTTACCTAAACATCTTTATCCCCTTGTATGACACTGCTTCCCCTTTCCATCCCACGCAGCAAACGCCCCAATTCTCTAAACCACCAACTTCACTGACAACTTGTGAAACCGTGTAAAAGATACAAAAATAATAATCCTAAGGCGGCAGCTGAGCGTGTCGTAAGGAATATCGTGGAAAAGAGAGCAGTTTTTGTATTGAAGTTCTTTGAAGTCAGACACCTCGGGAAAATTTAGTTCATTATGTCAGCACACAAAGCCACTCGGGCATTTTGCTTTGGTGTTTAGTCTTACCTATAGCCGTACAATTAACTGAACAGACACCACAGCAAATAGAAAACGGGCAAGGAAAATGAGGAGCATATCCAGCACGTAATTCAAGGCCCTGATGGGAAGCTCAAAACCACCGGCGAACGCGGGGCCACACGGCAGCAGGGGCACCCTGAGCATCCCGGGTGCCGAGAGGCAGCTCGGTCCCTCCCGCCCGCAACCTGCCTGCGGGCTGGGGCCAGGGAAGCCCACACACCGCCCCGAAACCAGGGCGGCCACGAAGGGGCTCGAGGTCAGAATGGGCTTTTTCCTTCAAGCGAGGGCTCAGGCCAAGAGGGCAAACGTAAAAGGAGAAACAAAATGAAGTTGAAAAGGAACGAAGAGTTAAGGGCTGGCACTGCGATACAGCTTTGCCGTGAGTGATCCGGGGGCAAGCAAGGAGAGCACCTTGCACCTGCAAATAGTAAGCTGAACTTTCGCACCTGAAATTAAGTGAAATGCAAGCTGGTGACTCACAGACAGACAACGAAAGCTGCTGCAAAGGACTCCTCGGCGGCAGTGAGCCGGTATGCAAGCCGCTATGCAGGAAAACCCACACGGAGGTGGGCAGAGGCTGGGACTGGTCTGGCCAGTGTTCCGAGATCAGGCGTCACTGCGGAGGAGATGCAACTACAGCTTCCAGCTGTTGAGGCTGTTACTCGTGCCTCAAGAAGGTATAACTGTAACTGCATTTCACTTGGCAGAATCCCGGAAGAGAAAGCCAAATCTGAATACTTCCATATGCATTTGCATGTGTGTGCGCTGTATGTATGTGTAACACAATGCACGATGCTAGGGGGTCCACAAATCACCTAGGGAAGCACCGAAAGGGACAAAGGTAAATGCCTACGGATATGTAACCAGAATTGAGGGAATGCACAGCAACTCTTCAAAGCAATTGTGGTATTTCCACGTAGAAGAAAAAAAATGTGTGGCAAAAACCTCACAAAGAGGTATGCATTTCACTTTAGAAAAATGGTATACATTTCCACTACTTAAATTGTTCATTGACCTAAAACTCAAAAGCTTCGGATAACTTCTGTAAATATTATTCTTCAATTTCTCAGTCTCTCAAACACTTCATACTATGTGTGGCTTCCGAACCAAACACACCACAACCCAGAATTTATTTTGCACGGCGACCAATTCACTACAGAATAGAGTCATGACCGCAGAGTATTCCTTTGGTAAGGCGACCCAAAGCACCCGTCCCACGCCTGTTTTGTCCTCAGGCTTTCAGGCTGACATCCATTCATCGTTCTGCAGCTAGATATCACCTCTTCTCATTCCTTCAGCAACGGCAACAAATAAATTTAGGTGACCAAGTTTCCTTGAGGCTAGAAGTTGAGGAGGTGTAAATACCCACGCAACCTTAACGCCTGCCACTGTGAAAAATAAACAACCCATCCACCTCCAGATGAGTGCCACCAAAACTCTGTTTTCTGTTCAAGAAACATTATAGGTTTTGATTAGAACCCATTTTCAAAAGCCAGCTAAAAGGAGGAGACCATCCAAGGAAGCTTAACTGCCATAGCTCCTACACAATACATCTCAACCGTCTCACCACACAGCAAAGACATCATGAAATACGCACATCACAGAGATGCTTTACGTTTTGTATTTCATGTATGATGATTAGCCAAAAAGCTGTCAGATTTGAGTAAAGAAGAGTTATCTACAGCTGCGGTGAAGTTCTTGGAGGACTACAGACTCTCTTAAGCCCCACGTCTCCCACAAGCACAGGTAAGGGAAGACCGTTGCTTTCACTTGACTGCTAGTAGGAGAAAAGTTTCGTTCTTCCATGCAACTTTCACAACAATTTTTTTGTTGTCTCTGAACCGAATCTTGCCTGTGGCTCAGCCTTCTCTGAGCGACGCCGGTCGCTGTCCGCGCTCGCTCCCGACCAGCAGCCCAGCCGGCCTGGCAGAGCACATCTCCAGCGCTCCGCTCAAGGTCGCCGCCGCGCGAGGGGGTCACGCGGACTTTGCTCCCCTCGAGTTCGACCGGGGGGCTGTTCACAAAGCAGAGTTTTGCTCGGGAAGTCTGGAATAAACTTTGCATGTGTAACTGGGAACGGCTTTACCTACTTTAACAAGCTGCTACTAAGAATTTTATGTTACCACCTTCAGCTTCTACTCTTATTTAAAAAGCCATTTTCACTTGGAAGAATTTGGATGCTATTTTGAGCTCCTAATGGATAATGTTGACACCGCTGAACTTCTTTATTCAATCAAAAAAATTAAAAAGCAGCTCAGCATCAGGTATTACATCAGGGCAGTATGTATTCACAAGCATTAGAGCAGTTAGCCCTCATCTTCTGGGTGAGAAACACAGCCTTGACACTATGCAGAAAGGGCACATTCTTTTTAATTTCTTGTGTATTTCATGGATTTTGTGTATAATTTGAAAGGTGCCTTGTTGCACTTACAAATATGCAAGCTCCAACGAGATGATGAAGTGTCTCGAAGCTTTATTTAAGGGAGAGCAAAAAGAAAAAAAAAAAAAAAAAAAAAAAACAACAAACCACCTCTCTGGCTGCGAAACGCCCGCGCACAATGTACTCCCGGCCCCAAGTCAGTGCCAGGCTCTGCGGCGAACCCGCGCTCCCTCTGTCAGCAGCAAAGTCGCGCTAATCTGTGCCCCTCGCTGGAGCCACGCTCCTCCTCGCACTCCGGCTTCGCTCCCAGCCCCACGCCCGCACCCACAGCCGGCCCCCCCGGCCCCCCCGAGCACCAGCAAACCAACAGCTCCCAGTCGGGAAAAAAAAAAAAGAAAAATAATCCCTACTCAGGCTGAGCCGTGGATAAATGGCGATGAACAAGGCAGACGGGCCGCGCGCCTCAACCAGATCAATTCTAGCATTGACACCCAGTGGCTGCCCGTGACTAAACCTGAAAAGGTGGGTAAGAAACGTTGCGTTTATCTGGCTCAGGCCGTGAAATCTGCAAGCGTGTAACTCTGCGAGCAGCCTGGCAGTGACGCGGCCGAAAGAAGGGATTAGGGCAACGCGTACAATGCGGAGCACAGTAACTATTTAATTATGGTGGGAGAGTACATGTGTATCCACCCGCTGGCAGTGGCAGGGTACCTCCTGCACTCTGCCAGAGGGTACCACAGCCAAAAAACACCCAGGTAACGGCTCGCCCTGTCACAGTGAAGGTATGTGGGCACAGAAGGAGCTCGCCCTCTCAGAACCAGGAGTGTGAGACTTCTTCCTTGCTGAAGCACCACACAAAGAGCAGCAATAAAATAGAAGCACCTAATAAGTTACCCAGCCAGCAGAGTTTCCTATTTGCTCGCTTGAATTCGGGGGCTCTCTGATTTTAATTTTGGTTTGTTTGGTTTTCAGTTCTCTTCTACTCATTCTGAAATTGATATATCTTGCTTTTTTTCAAGGAGGCCGAAATACCACTGGAGAAAAAACAGCATTTTCAAGTGACAAGTTACCTTATTTAAAAGTTGTCAGCTATCAATCATTCCACTCCTATTAAGGCTTTTCATAAAAGACGTCTTCAGAGAATTATCCTTTAAATTTTTTAGTCAAACATCAATAGAAACTAACAAATTACTTTTAAAAGCATTCAGCTAAAAATGAGTTTAGGATTAATCTGCATTTCCTTAGCAGGATGTTGCTCACCTCTAAAAAAAAAAAAAAAAAAAAAAAACAAATAAATTTACAGCAATTGGATGTAACAAACATTGCTAGCTGTGCAACTGAAAATATATAAATACACAATTTGAGTCAACACTTTCTTTTTCAGAAAAGGCAAATATTACAGATGCTAGAAAGCGAAGCAAAGGGTTTGGCTGGCCCCACCCGGACCGAAGTCACGAACACGGCGGGACACGCTCACCCCGTGGCCGGGTGCACGCACCTCGCACGTTTATCGCCACCGCCTAATCCCTCGCGGGGGGAAGAGGCTCTGCCTCTACACGGGCGGCTAAAGCTTATTCCGACAGGGCTCCCGCGCAACAGTGCCACGAAACTACACGCCCTGCCGCCGCGAGCGAGCGGGGACACTGGTGGGCGACACTTTCTCACCGGAGGCCGAGGAGGAGGAGGAGGAGGAGGAGGAGGAGGAGGGGGAGGAAGGGGGTTTGCTCGCAGCGCGTCGAGCGCTCGCCACCCGCCGGGACGCGGAGCTGGTGGGTGCCACAGGCCTGGCGCTGGCAGCGCCACGGGGGGCGAGGGCCAGGGTGGCCGCACAGCCCCACGCGAAGCGACGCCGGCAGCCCGGGTGGGCGGCCGGGGCCCCCGGGGCCCCTGTCCGGGACGTGGCGGCCCCGCGGGGGTGGGTGTGTGGGTGTCCCCGGGGGCGAGGCAGCGCTCGGGCAGCCGGCCCGACGGCTCGGCTCCGGGCTGAGCACAAACCCCCCATCGCCAACCGGCCACCGGTGCCAGCCTGCCCCGGCTGCCGGGGGCAGCTCCGTCCCACCGTTTCTCGCAGGAGAAAGACGCTCCCCGGAACCCAACTTTTACAAAGCCATCAGGACAAATACAGCGGCTTACTCATTAAACACGCGGTATTTTTGCAACCCTTGTCCTGACTCCGCTCTTTCCCCATCCCTGTTTGCTCCTGTCCCCTCTCCGCCGCCCGACGGCAAACCCCGTCGCGCCGGGGCAGCTGTCGGCACGGCCCCCACCCCCCACACCACCCCCCCCCCCCCCCCACCTCTCCGAGGGGACGCGGCGGTGCCTCCGCAGCGCCCGACGGCCACCCCCCACGACACAGGTGTTGAACCCCAGCCCCCCCCCCCCCCCCCGGCCAGCCCCGCGGGAGCGGGAGGCGGCGGCGCTCCCGCCGCGTTCGCCCGGGGAACGGCGCCGTGACACGGCGTGAACTTTTGCTTTCGGCGGGGCAGGGCAGGGGAGAAGGGGGGGGGGGGGGGGGGAAGGCGGATTGCAGCAAGTTGAGGGGGGGGGGGCGGCCCCTCCTGTGCCCCACCGCGGGGGGGCGGGGGAACTGCTTTATTCTCGTAAGATTTTTTTTTTTTTTGGGGGGGGGGGGGGTGGGGAGGAAAAAAAGTGAAAATTTTAAAGGGGGGGGGGGGGGGGAAAAAAAAAAAAGCATGGAGCCGGAGCGCTGCAAACTGCGCGGCGGGCAGCGAGCAGCCCGGGGGGCGGGAGGGGGGGGCAGCGTGCCCGGCCGCTCGCAGGCGACCGGCGGCAGCGCGTACAGCGCCCAGCACGGCCGAACCCCCCCCCCCCCCCCGCGCCTCCCCCGCTCCGACGGGGCCCCCCACCGCTCGCCCCTCACCTTCCAGCCGGCCGAGCTGTTGCTGTCGCCCTTATCCTTGAAGTAGGGGACGCTCTTGACCATCCACTCGTAGATCTGGGAGGGGTGAGCCGCTTCTCGGGGGAGCTCTCGATGGCCTTGGTGATGAGGTCCGCGTAGGACAGGTTGCCCCAGGCGTTGCGGCGCGACGAGCTGCTCTTGCGGGGCTGCCCGGCCACGGGACCCGGCGACAGACCGGCCACGGGCGGCGGCACCGGCGGCACCGGCGGGTGGAGGCGGCAGCCGGGCTCGGGCGCCGGGAAGTCCCCGCAGCGGCAGGCGGCCGCCTCGGGGGGGGGGCCGGCGGCGGCGGGGGGCAGCGCCGCGAAGTCCTCGCTCTCCTCTAGCAGGCTGAGGTTGCTGATGAAGTCGGCGCTGAGCCCTCCCGAAGCGCCGGCCGCGGCCCCGGCCGCCCCCTCGGGCTGCCCTCCGCACGACGGCGCCGGGCTGGAGGTGGCCGAGCTGGGGGGGTTGAACTCCGGGCGCGGCAGGGGCCAGGTGCAGGAGCGGGGCCGCGGCAGCGGCTCGAAGTCGGGGTCGATGTCCACCAGCTGCGGGGCCTCGGCCATGGCGGGGCCGGGGCGGGAGCGCGGCGGCGGCGGCGGCGGCGGGGGCGGCCGGGCTCAGCGCCGCCGCCCCATGCAGGCTCCGGCCAAGGACCGGCGCGGCCCCGACGGCGCGGCCGACAACTCCCCCTCGGGGCTCCGGCCCCGCCGCTTTGCCCCTGCCCGGCTCCCGGTTCCCGGTTCCCTGCCCTCTGCGGCGGCGGCAGCAGCGCGGCGCGGCGCGACCCGACTGGAACGACCGCCCCGTGCGGGCCCGCCTCCAGCCTTCCTCCTCCTCCTCCTCCTCCTCCTCCTCCCGGCGGGGTGGGACGGCCCGCGCCGCGCCAATGGCAGAGCCGCGCCGCCCGCCCGCCTCCCGCCGCGGGGCCGGTTTGGCAGGAGGGTGCCGGTACCCCCCGTGCTCTTTCGGGGTGGGTTTTTTTTTGTTTTCCGGCGGCGGGGATGGGGGGGGGGGCGGTGCCCCCCCGCAGCCCCGGGGCTCGGAGCTCCCTTGCCCCGCCGGGGAGTGAGCGCTGCGGAGGGCGCAGGAAGTAACTCCGCTCGGAGCTGCGGGGGGGGGAAGGATTGCCACGGAGAACGCCCCCGCGAGTGTTTCTGCCTTGCTCGCTGCCGGCGGCGCGTTGCCGCCTGCACCGACGGCCCCGGTGCCTGCAGCCCTCGGGGATCGGCGGGGGGCTGGGGGCATCCCCCGGCTGCAGCGGGACGGCTGGGGGGAAAAAGGGGGGGGGTGCTCGGGGGGGGGGGGGGGTCTCACCAGCAAGCCCGGCGGCGCTGGCCCCGCGTGGAGCGCCGCTACCGCCCGTCTGCCCGCCCCGGGGGGGTCCGGGCAGCCCCCGCGCCGCGGGGACGGGACCGGGGGCTGCGACAGCTTCCCTGCCTCCCTCCCCCTCCCTCCCTCCCTGCCTCCCTCCCTCCCTCCCTCCCAGGCCGGCTCCTCGCCAAAAAGTGTCCGCGCCTCCCGAAGTGATAAACCTCCCCTTCGGCTGAGCGTGTTTTCACACCGCGAGGCGGTGTTTTATTCCGTGGACAGTCACGGGAGCTCGGGATAATTTCGTTTTGTGTCAACTATTAAACGTACTTTATATTTTCCGGGCAAACCCCAAGGCCACGCAGTTCAGTAAGGCTTGTATTCCCCGCTTCCAGAGAGGCAGCAGTTGCAGGACGTGCCGCCTCTGCCACCCGAGCCCATAAACATACAAAGAGGTACATGTTCGAGGCAGCACAGAAGTGTTATTCTGTTTAAAATTAAAAGGAAGACTCTTGCTTAAACTCGGGAAACGATCCCAGGGATGAGGCGCGACTCAACACCTTGTTCAAACTGGCAAACCCTACTTTTTAGAAAATCTGTTTTGTTTTCAATAGGAGGAATGCTTGCAAAAAACATGCTTCAGACATGGCTTGATAAATCACAGAATTCACAACCCGCCATGGCATTTGATGTCGCCTGTCAAAGAACTACCAGAGCAGGGTAACTGTCACCGCTGAGCCAGCAAACCTGCTGCTCTTCCCTCCTCCCTGCATCGAGGCGGAGAGCGTTAATGTTATTTAAACGTGGTTCATTGTTCCTATGAAAATATTTCCCAAAAATGAGTAACAATAATGAAGGAGAAAGTGTAAGACTGGATTTAGGCCCACAGCATGTAATTTAGTGCCAGATCATACATCTACATACACATACCGTCTATTATGAAAACACTTTCTGAGACTTGCAATGTACCTAACTATATAGTTAGTGCAACATATGCATAAGTGCACAGCAACTGATCAAATTTTAAAGCGCTGGTTTTGTCATGTTTATTTTCCAAATAAATGCGAAAGGTGATTATATCTTATTATAGGTTGGCTGCTTGCCAAATTTCAGAGTTGCTTTGCCTTTAAGTAATTTCTGTGTTTTCCAAATCCTGCAGAGGAGTCAACCCACAAATTTATATTGCTTAGCCCGCAGATTTTAGAAAAAAAACCCCTTTTTTTCCTCAGTTTCAAAAAAAAAAAAAAAAAAGGGAAAGGCAAATTAGTCCCAGTTCAACCTAATAACTTGCATGCCACGTTTCAGCTTGGAACAGCTTTATCCGGCAGCGTTACACAACTCGACTACAGTAGTTGCCCTGCAATAGGGGAGAGCACCCTGCCTTGGAGAAGCAGAGATTATATAATGGTGAGAAGCAGCCAGGGACGCGCGGCGAATGGACATGTTTAAATGGGAGGCAAAACAAAAGAAGTCCCCGAGAACACTGAAACATTTTCTTTCCTTGGTGTCTGAAAAAAAAAAAAATCTAAGGGCCAGACTGGAACCCATCCTGCTAAAGGAAATGGATTTATTACCCAGGCTTGCTTCTAAGGATTTTTTTTTTTTAAATCTTGCACGCCTTGCTTTTTCATTTTGTCAAAAACAGAGACGTTATCCCCTGACCTCTATTGGTATACGCAGATCAAAAAATAGCTTTCCTTTGTCAGATGCCAACTGTGAAAACTGGGAAGAAAGCTGGTGCTGGGGCTTTTAGGAAGCCGTGGTGTGTTTGTAGTTGAGCCCAGCTCGTTCTGCCGCAGGAGGGTTGGGTTGCCCTTCCCTGGCCCCGCTTGCCTCCCCTCCTCGGCAGGGCTCTGCCACGTTTGTGCCCCCTGTCACCGACGTTCTTGCAGCTCGGAACGCAGGGGTGAATGCAGACAGCAGTTTGCAGTCAGGGCTGAGGGCCGGGGAGGGAGAGCGCCGTAAAGCCGGCGCCTTCAGCTCGCGGCGTTCGCTCGGCAAGTGACTCACAGCGCAAGAGGCAGGGGTGAGCTCTGCCCATTGCTCAGGGGGGGGTTGCCTATTGCACGCCCACGGCTGGGCCCAGGGCTGCCGGAGGGCTGGAGGCCGAGGGGACGACGCCGCGCGCTTTCCTGGGATGAGTAATCCGGGCGTCCGCGCTGGCTTCGGGGGGCGAGCGAGCCCTTCTGTGAGGCCCCGGTCCACACGCATGCCATCGTCTGCGTTCCTCGGGGGATTTCTGCTCTCCGTCGAGTATTCGGGGACCGAAGCCCTTCACGTCAACTGATTTTGGGGTCAGAGCGAGCGGCGCACCCGCTGTGCACAACAGGAGGGCCAAGCGAGCTGCATGCCCTGGCGCCCCCCGGCACCGCCACGGCCCCGGTGCCCCACTGACCACCCTTCGGACCCACCGCCGTGAGCAAAACCAGCCCCCTCGGCTGCTGGAGGGGGGCTCCCTCCTCCTAAAACAGACCGGCACGCCGAGGGCTCAGTACGAGAAATTTTACCGCATCTACAAATGACAGCGTTGAGTTTATCTCATCTCCCACAATGCCGAAATGCTGATGGATGCACCACAATTCATTTCTACTCCCACAGTCCTCCTCCCACACTCCACCTTTTCATTTCTCTACTCCTACTCCTGCTCCCATTTTCCACTCCTCTACAATACAATATCTTCTATCATCCTCAGCATCAACTTGTATTTTTTTTTTTTTTTCAAATTAAAGACCTGAAGATTGCCTTTTATCATCACTGGAATAAAGCGGAGCCTTCTATTCATATTCTGGGTTCAAGGCAGCCAAAATAAAGGATCTGTGCTGTCTTTTTACTACTGTCTGGATAATTCACTTTCTGAGGGTTTGATCAAATTTAGCAGGAGATTATGTGAAGCTGAAAGCACTCGTACTCTATGTACAGCTCTTTTTTCCACATGTATGTGTGCACTGAGAGAGTACAAACGTTTTAACAGAGCAAAAAGCAACAGTGAAATACCAGTTTGCGCCTGGTATCTTAAGAGCTGGGAAAAAGCTTATTTTCTGAGAAAGGATGGGGGAGTTCAGCACCTCCCATGTCTCTGTCCTGGTTTCAGCTGGGATAGAGTTAATCTTCTTCCCAGTAGCTGGTACTGTGCTGTGTTTTGGGTTTAGTGTGAGAATAATGTTGATAACACACTGATGGTTTAGTTGTTGCTAAGTAGCGCTTATCCTAAGTTAAGGATTTCTCAGTTTCCCATGCTGCGGCAGCGAGCAGGTGCACAAGAAGCTGGGAAGGAGCGCAGTTAGGACAGCTGACCCCAACTAGCCAAGGGCTAGTCCATACCATGGGATGTCACGCTCGGTATATAAGCTGGGGGGAGCTGGCCAGGATCTCTGCTCAGGCATCGGTCAGCAGGTGGTGAGCAATTGCATTGTGCATCACTTGCCTTCCCTCGGGTTTTGTTTCTCTCTCTCTTTTTCTATAATAATTTTCATTACTATTATTGCTATTATCATATTTTATTCTAGTCATTAAACTGTTCTTATCTCAACCCATGAGTTTTACATTTTTTTTTTTCCCCCAATTCTCCTCCGAATCCCACTGCAGGGGGACGAGTGAGCGAACGGCTGCGTGGTGCTTAGTTGCTGGCTGGGCGCTTAAACCACGTCAGTCTCTCCGAAGGGACTGACTTTGGTTTGCAGCCCGCATTTCCAAGGAGCCTGGGCACCCGGCGGGTGGTGTGGCACCTTAACCACATCCCCTCCCAGCCCGGGGCTACTGAGATCCTCCCCACACCGCAGGGTGGGCACATGGCCCGGGCGGACAGGGCATCTGCACTGCCCAGCTAAGGGCTTTCGAGGTGCCTGACGCTCTCCCAACTGGCCTGAGGCTTCTTACCCAGCACCCAGAGGCAGGGGGGGTCCGGCTGACCCAAGGAGAGGTGGGTGTCACGTTTAGGGCCGTGGTCAACGGGGGCAAAACACGTTCCCCTCCGTGGGTGACTCGGCACCTCGGGTGGCAGAGCTCACTGGCCATGGGGCTGTCAGGCTCTCACCCCGAGTAGTTCAGACCCGCTTTCAGCCAGCTGCCTTCAGGCCACCAAATCCCACCCGTCCCACCTCGTAGTGCCTGGAAAACGCATAATCGCCGATTTTGCATCCCCGGGGTTTTCCAGGGTCCAGAAGTGTCTGGTGGCTCGGTGCAAGCCAGACGTGACGGGCAGGATGGTGCTGATCTCAAAGGGACCACTTGTTTGAGCAAAACATGCGGCACTTGGTCTTGCCTGGCAGAAACTTCTGCGTTATTTCTTGTGACCCAATGTACGCTAGCACTATGCTCCTCAGAAGGGCTGCAGCCCTCCTGAGCAGAAACAGTAAGAAAAGGCCGCGCTGCACAGCGTTGAGCTGACAGGCTAACCGGGCACTGTGGGCAAAAAAAAAAAAAAAAAAAAAAGGCAAAATGATCAGTCCTGCTTTGC